TAAAAAGAGTATAATATTACCTATAAGTACCTATAAGTACTTTTTAATACCTATATATTTTTTAGGTAATATAAAAAGTTTTTAAAATACCTATAGGTACCTATATATACTATTATTTACCTAACTATATGCCTGGGTAACTAGGCATTAAGCTATTATTAGGTACCTATGGGAATTTTAAACCCTGATACCAAGCTTAATGGGAAGGGAAGTCAACAAACCCTCACACGGAAGGAAGCAAAACACGTTTCCTTTGTACTTTAAATTAACCCTCGGTCCCATTTCGAAATCTAGGTATCTGATATGCCAATAGATAGCTCCGTACCAACGCGGTGCCCAAGGTCGTCGCCCCAGACTACAGCCAAAGTGTACCCAGTTACTTGGTTCGTTGGACCAGCCTTTGATTGAAGCATCTGCCACGGAGTCCCAAAGTTTTTCACATACATAGCATCCATCGTCTGCGGCCTGTTTGAAGTTAGAGAAAGTGCTGTGGTGCTGGCAATGTGTGTGGAGACTGTTCTCGACTGCTTCCAAGCCTGTTTGCAACATGTCAAAACAGACACTGCAGAGTTTGCTAAGGTTCACCATCTCGCTCATGATTTCAATACCAAAGGTTATCAAAATACGGAATAAAGTGCTATAGAAATCAATGGAATGGAAGCGACTGAACCCGGGTTCCTGAAGCAATAGAAGTGAGGCAAAGCGCTCGCCTTGTCGAGAGGCTGGCCTAATATGAAGCGGGGTTCAGGCTGATCTCAAGGCAGAATTGCGATAAAGGCGCTTCGGTCGCTATAACTTCGCCAATGTCGACTTGTAATAAATTGCTCTTCGAACCTGAGAATTTCAGCAAACCCTGCCAAGGGTGCTAGCATCGCATGGGGGATGACCCTTCTCTGCCCTCGTGTCTTTAGTGGATGTTCAGTTCTCGCGAGCGGGACAATGTACTGCGGCGATGGACAGTCATAAACAGCAAATAGCCAAGCAGTTACGCCATAAACAACCGAGGAATATTGAAGAAGACAAGAAGCAATCATGTTTCACTATCCAAGCCGACATATTCAGTTTATACCTAAATATTTGATACTCCTTCCCGGCAACTCAGACGGAGAACTCGATGTTCACTTTCGCATTTGATGATCCAAATTACCCTGTGGCAGTGGGTCGTCAGCCATAATAAGCCAGTAAGCCAAAAATCAGCAACCTCGAAACCGCAGAATCCACTAAAAAAACAAGCCAGCCGATAAGCCAGGCCTGTGACGTTTTTCATGCAGTGTAACGCTGGAAATATTAAACGCCGCTTATCTCCCACCAAAGTTATGTCCGTCACCACATGGCGGCCTTCAGAGTCGCAGGCCAACATTCGGAGATAAGCTGCAATTGCCGGAATGGATCACAACGTGCATAATAAAGTTGATAATTCCCGATTTCGTCAATGCTTCTTGTAAATCCCTGCTCTCTACTGGACAGACTAATGCTGCTATGGAGCTGAGTAAGAATAGCGTATCAAACTCCGCCGTTTGAATTGTACAGGAGAACAAAAATTGAAACTGAGCGGAAGATGAATCTTATTTAAATTGTCTACCGCCCCCCTATAAAGAGCTTTTAACCATCGACAACTCATCAAGTTTCTCTGACAACTACACAACTGCAATCATCCTTTACTACTTACGTCACACTTTGCTTTCAATATGGCCCGAGTCTGGTTCATCACTGGTTCCTCTCGAGGAGTTGGCCGCGCCTTGGTCGAAAAGATCCTCGAGTCAGGCGACGTCGTCGTCGCAACCGCTCGTAACCCATCTCAGCTCGACGACATTGTCGCCAAGTATGGATCCGATAAGATCCTTGCAACGGCTCTTGACGTAACAGACTTCGACCAAGCCAACAAGGCAGCCAAAGAAGCTGTCGACAAGTTTGGCCGCATAGACGTTGTCGTCAACAACGCCGGCTACGCAGACATGGCTTCCATCGAAGATGCAGACATCAAAAGCTTCCGCGAGCAGGTCGACGTCAACCTTTTCGGAGTCGTCAATGTCACAAAAGCCATCGTACCTATCATGCGCAAACAAAAGTCCGGCCACGTGATTCAAGTCTCAAGTGTCGGAGGCCGCGTCGGAACACCCGGAGCAGCAGCCTACCAGAGTGCCAAATGGGCCGTTGGAGGATTTTCAACTGTTCTATCACAGGAAGTGGCCCCCTTCGGTATCAAGGTCACCGTTGCCGAGCCTGGTGGTATCAAGACTGAGTGGGCTACCACTGCCACTGAGACGGCCAAGGTCAGCGAGCCTTATGAGCAGACTGTCGGCCAGATGATTCAGCTGGTCAAGGGACACTCAACGTGGACGGAGGCTTCTGAGATAGCTAGAGCTATTATTCACCTGTCGAATGTGGAAGACCCCCCATTGAGAATCATCCTGGGCAAGGATGCGCTCCAATATGCTCATATGGCGGCCAAGGCTATTGCTGAGTGTGACGAGAAGTGGGAAAATATCTCGAAGCTGGAGTTCTAATAGACTCCTGCTCGCAATCGTCACAGTATGCAAAAATGCAGGTATAACTGTTGTGAGATCGCAATACTTGGATAGACACTATTAAATCATCGTGTACAATACTTAATTGATGGTCGTAATTCTTGAATTAATTTACATCCTTTCACTACCGAATTCACGGTGAACGAATGACCTTTCACATGCTGCTTCATCGCAACATCGATTTCTTGAGGATCCCATTACGGAATGAAGGATATTCCAGGTAGGTCACATATCACAACAAGCAAGGGTACGTCCATGTCCAAATGCATAAGCGAATGTCTTTGTTGGTTGGCTGTCCGACTTGGTGCTGGTTCCACCACCAGACCCATACAATTATGCAGGAACATCGAGTTTTACTGACAATCGGGATAAAAATATTCGATTGCCTTCTGCAGAAGTTTTACTGGAATTATTTTACCGCTGATTCATTTCCATGAAGCCGGTTTCATCCGCTAAACTCTCACAAGCTCGGTTATCAAAGTCCGCGAGGGTCTTATCTTAGCGTCTCGCTGACTTATCGGGTCTCTCCGGTTCGCTAAATCAGATCCGCCAGCGAACTTCAACTGAGCGTTGCGTCACACGACCATCAACAATTGAACTTCATCTTCACAGCTCCCAACCATGATGTCCAGAAGTCGAGAAGCAAGAAGCATTGTCGCTTCCTTGCGCAAACCCCATGTGCTGCGGCCAATCAGCCCTGCATTGGCGCGTCCCTATGCCAACAGCTTCCATACAACAACACCAAGAAATACAGATGGCGTATTTCAGGGCCTCGAAGACAAGAGGCAACCGATGCCATGGATAGAGGCGTTCGAGCGTCAACAAAAGGGCCTCCCGGCTCATAAGTCCGATGACTATCCTAAGGAACGCGATCTGACCCCCAAGAAAATGAGCGACAGCTATCATCGCGTCGTGCTTCCTCTCAAGAAAGACCCTTGGCTGTCAGACACTTATGTCAACTCTTCCGGTCACATACGGCAAGCACATTAACTGAACAGATTTCACGTACCGAACTAACCATTATGATAGACTCGGAACATTATTCATGGACCTTGATGCCCTCTCGGGAATCATCGTCTACAAACATACCGGTCCTGGAGTTACTACAGTGACCGCCGCCCTGGACCGTATCACAATAGCGCATCCACTCACCGAAATTTGTGATCTTGAGTACAGCGGTCAGGTCACTTATGCTTCTGGCAGGAGCAGTGTCGAAATCACCTGCAAGGTCGCCAAGGCCAGGGAAGAAGGCGAACCCAGCAAACCGGAAGATGTCCTTCTTACCTGCACCTTCACCATGGTCGCCCTAGATCCCAACACAAGAAAGCCAGTCAACATCCCCAAGCTGGTCCCAAGCAATGCGGAGGAAGAGAAGATCTTCAAGGCTGGAGAGGCAAAGTCGCTGTCCAAAAAGGAAACATCCAAGGCTTCGCTCCTTCAGACTGAACCCAATGATGCAGAATCTGCGCTGATTCATCAGATTTGGTTGCGGCAACTTGCGTACCACGATCCCAACAATGAGCTTCGTCAACCTTCCAACGTCGTCGCCATGTCCAAGACCCAGCTTTCGACAGCTGCAATCATGCAGCCTCAGTATAGAAATCGCCATCAGACCATGATCTTTGGTGGTTTCCATTTGAAACAGACCTTTGAGCTCGCCTTCTGCTGCGCAGCCAGTTTTGCTCATGCCCGACCGACCTTCATCAGCGCTGATCCTTGCACGTTCCGAAATCCCGTTCCTGTCGGCAGTGTTCTGTACCTGACCGCCACTGTCGCATACACTGATCCTCCCCTGTTGGAGGAAGACGGCACTGAGCCCGGCTTTCCAGACCCCGAGAAGCCCATGACTCGTGTGCATGTTCGGGTTGACAGCAAGGTTCGTGATGTTGAGCATGGTGTTGCAAAGCCCACTGGCCAGTTCAACTATACTTTCTCCGTTCCCAAAAATCTTAAGGTCCTGCCGCATACGTATGAAGAGTACATGGTGTATATCGATGCTAGGAGACGTGTTTCGCTGGGTGACAGTCAGCGAAAGGAAGAGTCAAAGGCCTTCTCAGAAAAGAGGCCTGAAGCCACGGATAATGTCAACCTGATTGGATAAGGGATTGGTGCTTATGTGAGCTGCGAATGTGGAAGCCTAGGCAGTCTCGAAGGTCGCTGTTGGAATTTGAGGGAGAATAAGCAAGGCGACACATAGGAGCAACCGAGAAGAGGACGTAATCTCTATGTCCGAATCTTAATACCGATGTGAGAACTCTTAGTATAATAGTAAGCCCAAAATGGAGTACATTGAGCCACTGTTCACTTCCACATGCGATAAGACCGTTAACTCCGGACTGGAGCACTACTTTCGGCGAACCTTTTGAAGAGGCCATTTACCCTTCATTCATTCATAATGTCATACACAATACAGATAATCTCTGATATCTTGACGACACCCGCAACAGCTAAGATGGCACTTTCAAGAGAGGAACGGCTGCAACTCGCAACTATTGACCCTGAGCTGGACGACGCAAGTCTCCTCCATCCACATGAATGACTTCAAACTGACCGGACCCAGTACCTCAAAACAATAACTATTCCCCAGCTTGACACGTCTGATTCAGCGACGGCGATTGCAAGTTTGAGATGGTATATGAAAAGCTTGCATAAGCTGCCCGACCCAGAGAGTGGTGTCGTTGAGCGCGATATCTACTACACTGCAAGAGATGGCGTCAAGTTACGCGCACATATTTACGAACCCATTAGCGACTCCAGTCCAACTCCGCCTCTTGTTGTTTACATCCATGGTGGCGGGTGGACCATCGGCTCTCCAGAAGATGCGCAGCGCTCGTGTCGTGATATTGTCGAAAAGCTGGGGGTCGTTTGTCTGGCGCCTTCATATCGTCAAGGACCCGAAGACCCATTTCCAGCTAGCATAAACGATGTCTGGGACGGCTTGAAATGGATTGCTGCGAATGCAGAGTTCGAACTGAAGGCCTCACTGTCAAAGGGGTTTGTCATTGGTGGTTCATCAGCCGGAGGTAACATGGCTGCGATAGCCAGCCATCTGGCCCGAGATGAGAAGCTAACTCCTCCGATAACTGGCGTCTTCCTGCTCGCTCCAATGATACTGCCACCAGAGAAGGAAGATGCGCTGCCTCAGAAGTACAAGGACCTTTATCTGTCTCGGACTCAAACTGAGTGTAAGGACGACCCTATTCTCACCCCAGCTTTGGACAAGATATTTCACGATTCTGCAGCTGGGGATATATCCTCGCCTCTCTTTGTTCCGTTCATCTGGTCAACAGGTCACCACAACTTACCCAGGACGTATTTACAACTTTGTGGAATGGATGTCCTTCGGGATGAGGCTTTGATCTACGAGCAGGTATTGCGTGAGGACAATGGGATTGAGACACGGTTAGATATCTATGCTGGCATGCCTCATATCTTCTGGGGCGCCTTTGCACATTTGAGCCAAGGGAAGAAAGCAGCTGTAGAGCTTGTTGAAGGCATCAAGTGGCTTTTGAAGTGATAACTCGGGCACTTGGCCCTCACTGCGGTGAAGAAGTATCTTTCTAGACGTTTATAGACTATTATACTCGTATGCTGGCTAGGGGAGGCAAGAAAGCTCAGGACCTAGACCCATAGCGATAGAAGGATCTAGGCAAATCTAGCCTAAGCTTAGCCGTCTCTTTGCTAAGTTTATTTTGACACCTTATATCAAGTTCTGATATCTTCTTGCTCCCCGAGGCCTGGTATATCGGAGAATCTCCAAAGACTCATCAATTTCCCTCCATGGCCCTTGTCGTTATGCCTTCACACTCTCTTACTTCTTCTCCGCCGCTATTTGCACCAACACTTCGGATGACTCCTCCTCCCGACCAAGAGGCACAAAGATATGATCATGATAGAAACCACTAACCGGATTACAACCAATGCCCTTTGCCGCTAGTCTTGTCGCGATGACCGCCATGAATCCGACAGCTTCCAAGCTCGATGTGACATTGAGACTGATCATTTTGCAGGGAAAGAAGTATTCGACCTTGTGTGACTCTGCGTAGTCCTTGCTAGTAATCACCGTGATTCCTTCAGACTCCCTGAAGAACATTTGCGTTTCGGATAGGGGTGGTAGATTGGAGGTATTGGTGAACGTGGCGAAGACGTAAGTGGTTGGATGGACCGTGTGGGTGAGAGTTGAGAGGAGCTTGCTGAGCGAGAGCTCACCAGGATCGTTGGCCATAAGCGACATGATTGTGCACTTGAGAGATATTTTGATTATATTGGCGATGAGATAGAGTGTCTACGTGAAGGATTCCAACGTAATAGAGTGAGCGTCTTCTTGGAGTTTTGTATTTCGGTGGTGGAGTACAAGATGCGGATGCAGTCACTCGTAGGGCGCGCCTACAGAGCTAATGACGTCACCTCAAATTCATTAGTGCCGATGGGTAACTATGTGTTGAACATTGACTGTACTAAACTAGTGATCAGAGCGAGAGCTAAAACTCGATATTGTTTTCATCCCTAGCACTTATTACCATGATAGGACGAAAGATCAAGCACCCTGAAGGCCAAGGGGCCCCTGCTCAGCCTTGGCTTTGTTGAATGCATCGATAGCGGCACCAGTCTTGATGACAGCGGAGGGTGCGTCGAGAGGAGGCAAGACGAGTTCGACCAACTACTTTGCATCAGCAACGACTCTCGATCAAGGTGATATAGTACGAAGTCTTACCTCAAGGCAGCCTACATTGCCAAAGTTGGGATCTCGAAGGAGTGATGATAACTCTCCGCAAGTCTTGATAGGCCCGTGGTACTTGGATTCGAATGCTGGCCCGAAAGTCTTGCAAAGTCTGGAATAGTCCAGAACTGCGACCTCATTATAAAAGGCTTCCTTGCCGTGAATGAGGCGCTCGACTGTGTATCCGCCATTGTTGAGCACGAATCTGGCGCATGTGAGCAAACGCTAAAGACTGTCGTTAGACATGAGAATCGGGTACTCACATGACTGGCTTGAGGTCCCATCGCAGCATATCTGCCAGGGCTTGAATGGTGAGGTGCATGGAACCCTCTCCAGTCACGAGGACAGGCCTCTTCCACTTTCCTTGGCTTTCCTTGATAGCCTGACCAACGCCAACAATGGCGCCAGTAGCATACCCAATGCTGCCATATACGGTTTGGTTGAACATCATCACTCCGCTTGGGAGTTTGGTATCGCATAGGCCAAATGCGGAAGTACCAGTCTCACCAATGATCGCATCTCCGGGGCGGAAGAAGGAGCTCAGTGCCTATGTCCGTCAGTACCAGCCCTCACTAGAAGATGCAAGGGAGTGACCCACGCCCCAGAGAAAATCTTGCTTGAGCTCGTCGCCGGGTTGAAAGTTGAACTTTGGATATGGATCCCAAGTGACGTGTCGTGAAGCGATGGAAATTGGGTTCGAACGAAGAGAATCGATGAGGCGTTGCAGAACCTGAAAGGGTTAGCTGGCTTGAGCAAAGGTGACTGTAAGCTATACTCACATGCTTCATTGAGACCGGGTACTGGCTCTTGCCAATAGAGACCGTGAAACGTTGGAGGTCAATCACAATGGCATCCTTGTTTACAACAGTCGTAAATTCGCCCGTGTTGAAATCAGAAGGAGATAATTTCCGATCCAAATCACCGTGTCAATAGATTCAAGCGCCTCTTTGACGGCGGGCAGAGTGCCAGCGCCGGAGTGGACACCTGCGAACTGGGTAAAAGCTTCATCAAGACCTCCTTTGCCCATCGCGGTAGTAAAGGTTGGGAAGTTGGTCAACTTGATCAGCTCATGCGATTCTTCGAGTACACCGTTGCGCACAGCACCTACAGATAGTTAGTGCGATTGTTTGTGCAGCTAGGATTCTAGGATTTGCCTCCGTCAGCAATAATAGCTGGGTTCTTCGATCTCTCCATCAACTTTCTGATTTCTTCAACAACGCCCTCCTCGAGAGCTGGAGCGTTTGGCTGCAGTTCGGTAGGAATTGGGATGTTGAGGCCCTCAGCATCAATCATTTCGTACGCAATGTCGACGCTGAGCCCGATATAGACGGGCCGGCTCTCACGCATCATGGCAGTAAGCGTTTCATCGATCTCCCAGGCCGCAGTAGGAGCATAGTTGATCACAACAGTTGCAGCGGTGATGTTCTTAGCCATGTTCTCATACATGTCGAACTTCCCGTTGCCAAGACTGTGATGCATGATTCTCTTGTTGCGAACAGCATCGACAGTTGGATAGCCAACAATATGCACAACAGGAACAAATTCCGCATAGTGGCCAGCCATACCGCAATAGGCGGAGAGTTCACCAGGACCAAAGGTGGTGACAAAGGCTCCCGCGCCACGGACACGAGCGTAGCCATCTGCAGCGTAGGAAGAGATGAGTTCGTTGGGGTTGCCTTTCCAGGCGAGGTCGTTGTCGGTGACGAGATCCAGGAGGGCAAGCTCGTAGTCTCCTGGAACGCCAAAGACTGAGCGGATGCCGAGCTCGTGAAGACGGCGAAAGAGGTAGTCACCAACTTTAATCTGAGTCATGGTGGATGATACAGTAGATGCCTGGTTTGGATAAGAAGTCAAGTATTGAGTATTGCCAGTGTATTGAGTAAGAAGACTGTTGCGAATGATGCGTTGTTCTCTTATTTCTGAGGGACCAAGGGGACATATTTATACTCGGAGTTCGCTATGATGTCGTTATGTTAAGGGCTGATGCCGTTGTAACCGTCTTTTGGATGAGAAGCATTGAAGATGGTTGTTCGTACAGCATGGCTGCTTATGCCGCATAATCATGGATGGTGCGGAATTAGAACCCCCCAAGAGGAGGCGGAATGCAACATATGGCTCTGTTATATCGGCCGTGCTCATACAAAGTAGTATTGAAACGCTGTGTTCCGCTGCGAGCCGTCTAGATAGTGAGCCGCAAGTGCCGTGCCAAGGTTCAGCAGACTCCGTGGCTTGCCCGTTAGGGTACCAGTGACGGCCAAAAATATCCGCTGGCCCATGACCCTGGCTCTTATCGATATTCGCATCTGACATGCATTCAGCCTGATAAGAAACGGGCGTGGTGATGTTGAACCCAAGCTGCCCTTCTGTTCTCGATGCTTCGCGGAGCTGCCTGACAATTGATGATCCATCGTTAGGCGCATCGACCTGACAAGTTTAGGCTATAAAGAGCTCATTGAGCTTGGCAACTGATATTATAAAACTTATCGAATGATGTTTATTAAGAAATACTAGAGCCGAGTTGGAAAATAGGCCACGAGTGGATATAGCCAAGTTAAGAATTATCGTATACAGCAGTGGAAAATAGTGACGGGGGCAGCACGGTATTTCGAAGAATTCCAGGGCCGGCGGGGTACGCTAGGCTAGGGCTGCGGTGATACGCGGCAATAATTGATGGTTGCGTTGCGGGCTGAACAAACATGCGATGACATTCCATGAAAGCCATCTATGTCACACTGCAACGAGGAAGCGGAATAAACCCGCCCCAGGCAAGAGATGCTGCAAATGCAGAGACAATCTAATTTAAAATACCTGGAAATTGTATCGCAGTGTAACGTAGGCTACCAATCCAAGGTCGTGGAATGACGAAGTCCTGCATAAGATGTCGTCGGGCTCTCCGAAGTCAAGCGAACGTTCTATCGCGAAGAGCCCGAGTCTCATCCGCCACTAACTGTATAGAGAAAGATGCACTCACTGGCCAATGCGCGTACTCAGTTGAGCGCTGAAGAAAAGCGCTCCAAGTAGTATTATAATAACTTTACTATATGTCGTGTTATGTTTAAAGCTCCTTCTTACTGCCTTCTTTTAAAGTTTTATCTAACAAGTTAGCAGAATACCTTATAAATAACGAGAAATACATTATAGACTGTAATGTAATACTTTAATCGCCGCCAGTTTTCCTGACATAAGAACGTGGTGGAAATTTCCTCTTACGAATCGGTTTGATACTGGTAAAGGATTGCGCTTAAAATACCCGCATAACTCAATTTTAGGTATCCTCTTTTACTTCATAGCGTAAATCATAGTACATTTAGGTGATCCGTATAATTGAACCTACACCTCACAAACTGCATCTTCCAACATTCAAGTCAAATGCCTCCCCCAAAATCCGCTAGTACTTGTGTGCAATGTCGTGCCCGCAAGGTGAATTCCCTCAATTATCTAATCAACGTGCTCTCTAAATCTGACTCGACTCGATAGGTCCGATGCGATGGAGGCCCGCATTCATGCTCCAATTGTGAGCGTCTTAGCTTCAGCTGTTCTTTCATCTCCTCTAGATCACCATCCCATCCAGAACGCCGCCGCGGGTCTCGAGCCTGTGTCAAGTGTCGCAGTCAGAAAGTAAAATGTTCCGTCGACCTGCCTGCATGTGCTGCATGTCAATGTCAGGCGCGAGACCATAATTGTGTATGTCCAGATGGGAAAAGACCTGCTCGTCCTTCGCATCGATCGCCTAGCATTGGGAATCGATCTGGGGCTAGTTCTGGGGTCTCTCCTAGTCTCTTACAGCCTCGTCAGTCGCCTTCACATGATGTATCCACGGATGATGCGCATTTCGGATCGCCTTCTGCGGTGGCAAGGCTACCAGTTGAAGCTGACGCTCCTCTACCACCTTCCGCAGACCTACCATCGTCTTGGAGAGGCTCAGTCACCGAACTGAGCCCGATAGAAGGCGGAGGAGGTGCTCGCTCAATTGCTTTACCGCCTATGCGAGACCGACTCCAATTGATCAACGATTTCTTCCGCCATGTGCATCCGTTGCCCTCTTATGCGTTTCTCAACCAAGTCTCCATAACTCAGCGGTGTCTGGACGGAAGCCTCGATGAAACCCGCCTCTTGGCTCTGTTTGCAATATCTTCCCTTCATCTCAAGTACGCAAAATATCACCCAACGTTGACGGCGCAGTGGATTCAGCGTGCAGAAGATATTATTTGGTCAAAGATCGAGAAACCTAGAATTTTCACAACGCAAGCCCTGCTTCTTATTATCCACTACAAGATCGAGAGTGGCTCATTTCAGCGTGCTTACATGCTGATGGGTATAGCTGGTCGTACAGCCAGCGCCTTACGTCTTCAATACGTGAGAATCGACTTTGGTACTCTCGCGCAAGAGATCAGGCGGCATACAATGTGGTGTATGGCGCTTCTGGACTTATCTTTCTCAATTGGTTTGCCAGAGTCTGAGGTTTGCTCGCCGGATTCTATATATATACGGTTGCCGTGCAGCGAGGAAGATTTCCAAACAGATAGTGATGACAACGATCCCTTGAGTCTGGATGGAATATCTGAGAACGGGCTGCTCGCCACGTCCATTCGAATAACGCTAATCACGCGCGACATCATAAGGCTCATGCGACAAGTCCGTCTGTCATCGCAGTCAATGCCACAACTGCCTGATCTTGTAGAGGAATTTGGCAGAATGCTGGAACAGCTGGAAATTCCACCATACAGTGCTCAGGAACTTGAACGCTTTGCATCTTCAAAATGGCTTGCCCGATTTTTGACAGTGCAGCTTTCCTGGCATCAAGCTCACTGCGACGCATACAGACTCTTTCTTTCGGGCTATAGGGAAGCGGCTCCTGAAGTTGTCCTCGCATCACAACCGGAATCTTATATCACCATGGCTGCAAGAACCTGCTTGTATCACGCCAAAGCCAACATTGAGATCTTGAATGATTTCTCTAAAGGCTATCTGCGGCTATCACGCGTGCCGGCTCATCCTCTTCCTCAGCAAATCCAACCTGATTCCGCCTGAAACGAATTTCACTACGGAAGCCGCATGCCACCAAGCGTCTGCTTGTCTGAAGCTATTGCAGCGTTTGTACAAGGACTCATCACTAGTACAGTTTATCTTGAGGGATCTTGAGGCCATGATTCAATTATACGCGGCTGGTGATTCCGAGCATGGACGCGACTCTTCTGAACGTGAGGAAAACGATACCCAGCAACCACGCTTCGCTGTCACTGTACGAAAACACAAGAGTCTAGGCGTACATAGCGTGCTTCGACGAGCTGGATTCGCCGACGATAGCGGAGAAGCTGGGGAACCATGTGAGCGCCCACAACCCCAGAGTAACCCCCAGCCAGACTCGGGAGATGCACACGGGATAACGAGTGAGCCATCCGTGGTTGAGCCGGTTCTGGACGAGGGTCATATGGCACTGGACGTCTTGATGAAAGCAGCCATGCTGCCAAGCTCAAACTTGGAGGATCCGCATTTTACCTTCTCGGGTGAGCCTTTTACGCTTGGACTCTGCGACACATTCAATGATTGGTCTTTCCAAGGAGGTTTTTCACCGAGATCCGACACTGATTTTTTGTGAGGTCGTTCGCCGACTACCGACCCCACAACCTCGGAGGGGATTGAGAAGTGGGTATCTCTGGTCTTGTCGGTTGGTTTGATCTTGGGGTGCATTCTATTTTTTGTTACAGCAAGCTCTTATTTCTTTTCTTTCTTTCTTGGTTCTGCCTTCTTTCTAGATCTCGAGACCAGACAAGCCTCCTTCTTCGCACTTCTGCTTCTTCCAAGATTGATTCACTTACTGAACTTGAATCCAAGCTACCAACATGTCTACCCGACCGCCCAACATCATCTTCATCATGGCTGATGACCATGCTGCCAAATCCATATCATGCTACGGCGCAGGAATCAACAAAACATCAAACCTCGACCGCATTGCCAACGAGGGCATGCGATTCGACCACTGCTACGTCACCAACAGCATCTGCACACCTTCGCGAGCAGCAATCCTCTACGGCACACACAATCACGTCAATGGAGTCATGACCCTTGACTCCAAGATCAACAAAAGACTACCCAATGTTGCCAAGCAGCTCAAGTCAAGCCCTGCTGCCTATAAGACAGCAATGGTGGGCAAGTGGCATCTTGGCGAAGGCAACGACCACGAACCCACGGGCTTCGACTACTGGAGCATTGTGCCCGGGCAGGGAGAGTACTGGGACCCTCAGTTTATCGAGCCTGAAGGTACTACTCGAGTTCCCGGCTACGCAACCGATATCATCACGGACAAGTGCATTGAGTGGATGGAGAAACGTGACAAGGAACGGCCATTCTTTCTCATGTGCCATCATAAAGCTCCTCATCGCTCTTGGGAGTACGATAGTAAACATAAAGACCTCTATAAGGACCCTATTCGCCTGCCCGATACCTTTACCGATGACTACAAGAACCGCGCCAATGCTGCGAAAGTAGCCAAGATGAGAGTCGCCGAGGACTTGACGTATACAGACCTACGTGTAGTCCAGCAAGAAGGCCCCAGAAGCCAGATCGGAGAGAAGATGATCGATGTCTGGTGGTGAAACGACCGCAAGATCCCTGCCCCTGAGGATGTTACAAAACTGAAACTTATCTGCAAGGAAACAGCCCAAATCTTTACTTTCTATAGGATAACTGCGGCCTATAAGGTTAAGCTTTATGCTGCAAATACAGATAATAAATAATAATATAATTTTTTTTCCCTAATATAAGCTTTTATCTATAAGCTTTTATAATAACTAATAAATCTTATTATAAGCCTTAGGGTATTATAAAGGGAAAAGACTAAGAGGTATATAAAAAGATATAACCTTAAGTTTATATCTTTATATATATACT